TTATTGCTTACTTATAAAATAAAAAAATTTAATTTTGTAATAATATTACATTTTAACATTTATGACTATTACAATTGACAGGACAACAAATTATGTCATGTTGCCTTATAGTTACAGCTAGTATTATTAATCGATATTATAATTAATTACTTAATGCATTTGATTTAAGAGTCGTTACTATGCTTACATTTAAAGCAGAAACGTTATATTAGCGTTTCATATTTATTTATTTTTTATTCAGTACCTATATTTAATTTATTTTTTACAATCATTTATGCAAAATAAGACATTTTTAATAACGATTTGTAATATGCATTTGCTATACCGAATGTTAAAAATTGCATTGAAATCAATCATTTAAGTAGGTATGTAAAGAGACTAAAATATTTATTTGAGTTTTAAAGATGCGATGCAATCAAAATAGGTACATTAACTATTTTTATTTCAATATTCATTAATTTTTAGTTAATTACATTTTTACTGTTATCAATTAAGTTAAATCGATATTAACTATGTGCATATAGGTACCTCGTGGCGCATCAAACCACTGGGAATTGAAATATGAATTTACTGTGAGTGGTATTTTCTTCCAAACCTTTATAGACTGCAATACACGAATAACAGCTTAAACTAGTTATACAAATCGACAGCCGAGCCAGAATAGTTATGAGACCCGCAGTATAGGTATATATGTATTTATAATATTATAAAGTCGCTCGTCGCTGTCGGTTTAACATAATATAATGCGCGCAGATGATTTTCACGATTTACTATTTACGAAGCAACGGTGGAGATAATGACGGTTTCGTAGATATATGTATATGCATATATCGGGAATGATTGGGTATAATATATGAGGAGGTTGAGCGTGAAAAACCCACAAACGAGTCTCATTATAATATATTGCTTACGTCATTTTGTGTATTTACTATTTTGTACTACATTATTATTACCATTGCCCGTATGGCCATAATAAATATATATATATATATCATTGTATATTATTATTGTATATTAGAGTTTTAAATATAAATCTTAACAAGAGAGGCGTCGCAGTCGTGTCGTAAAATCTTATAGCCTGCGGCCTGCAGTGTCCAAAATACACACATATATATTATATTATACGTATAGTATAAATAACAGAGTTGTATCTATTTAATACTTTTAACGGGCATAAAGTGTTCTTACCTATTTTGTATGCTTTTGTCTTATCCACTAGTCAACGGTTACCAAATTTTTTATAATTTAAGTATTTAAAACTTAGGTTGGGACTGTATTATTTGTCTACCTAAATTTCCCAACAAATGAAACAACAATAACTTGGTTAATTTTATATATTATACGAAATGTAATATTAAAATTTAAAATGTTGTTATTGGTTGTTGAAGATTATTTCTCTTCCAGAAATTTTTTTTTAAATTGGAAACAAAACCAAACCGCCAAAATCATACTACTTATATGCAATATTACTTCACCTTCTCCCTTAGAAGTCGCGCCGCACAGTTTTGGAACCACTGAACTACATATTATGTTATAATTACTGTGCGGTACTATTCCTCTATCAATCACTTATTTAAACTTTGATTTATAAATAAAATAACTATTGATTCAATATTGTATGCGAATTCTATAAATCTGCACAGATATGAAATAAAAATAATATTTAAAAAGGTAAGTATTAAATAATTAGTTACAAACCGCAACTATAAATATGCTTACATTCAGTCTGTCGAGTCGTACAAAGTACATAATAATTTAAATTTTGGCATCGGCGTTTGAAAATATTTAACAAACTAATAATATACATTCTATACCTAAAACTGTAAAAATTCTTTGTTGAATAACGTGTGATTATAACTGCACACAATCAACTAACTCCGAGTGTAAAACTATACATCATAAATAGAACACAGTTAATACTTTAGTAAAAATGTTCAAACCCATAATTTATTAATAATTTCTTGTAAGGTTGCTATATTTACCAAACCATATTATAGGGTTCCAAATTAAAATTCTTCAAGCCATTGAATAATATGATATATATTAATACATTATATACCGACTATTTCTTATGTAATACGTGCATAATTCATTTGTGCACTGTATGTCTGTAAATGTAAGATAGACCATTCATTTAAATGTTCACAGAAATTCGAGTGAACACCATTCATCTGATCGAAGTAATGACAACATTATAATATTATATATTTATTCGCAGTGTTCGGAACGTTCACTTAAAAAATTAACTCGTTCACTTTCACGTTCGTGTTTTTTTCCAAACGAACGCGTTCACGTTCACGTTCTTTTAAAAAAACAAACGCGTTCATAAATTTTTTTTTATGAATCGTTAGCCTAGCCTACAGTCAATATAAAAATTAAAAACCCATAAACTTATACGACTCAACCAAAAAATAAAAATACAATTTAGACTTTAGAGCATATACAATTTATAAAGTATCTGAATTAATTTTTAATATCTGACACGTTATTTGAGTTACATTTTGATAAGGATTTCCTAGTGATAAAATTAAGCGAATACTAGGGTACTTAATAAATCATCATACTATACTATTTAGATAAAATACGAATATTGTGATGGAGTAAAATAATTTACCACTGTAGTTTTTAGCACTAATATTTCAGTTTGCACAATTAATCGATACCTACGTAAATCGTATTTTCAGTGATATAATTATTTTTTTGTTTCTGATTTGGTTATCTCGAGTAATATTGCAGACCGTATACTGTATATAGGTATGCATTCGGATTTTAATTGGAGGTATAAAAAGTTCAACGCCTTTGTTGACATCGTATACATAATTATAATTATAGTTCCATGGTTTGACTTTATTTTAGCGACGACTTTGTCGAATCGTTACATCTGAAATCCAGAGTTTGGATAAATTTTCTGCCCGTGGATACCGATTACTCAATATAATTATTGAATCCGTTTAATATTTTTAACATAAATTCTATGCAAATATTATGAGCATGTTCCATTTGACCGAGAGTACTGTTGAAAAGTTTTTGGTTTATATAGGCAAAAGTGTGTGAACTTCAAACTTTTAAGGCATTTGTTATTTATAAACAATACAAATAGGTATCGTAGTTAAAGTGCATTATTATTGCGATAAAAAAAAAGACTGTATACCCAAGGTTATTGAATTGGTTGGCCGTCATTATATTATGTCTGACTGCATTAAACATTGAGTATTATAATTCATAATTATCAAATCAGAATACTAAATATGAAACGACGCGTTATAATATAATATGGTAAATAATAATTATTTATTACATACGATAATATGTTATTACATCGTATTATGTTGTCTAAATATTGGTCACATACAATTATTGGTCTCATACTGCGTATTCAATAAAAATTATAACAAAAATCTTGTACACAGAAAATCTTCAACTATATTACAGTAATAAAAAATAAATAAAAAAAAAATAAAAATAAGAAAAAATAATTGGTAGGTACCTAACTATATTCTGTACAAGTAAAAAATTATATTTTAAATATTGTAGTGATAAATTGTAGGTAACTATTCCCGACTAGTTTAATGACAGCAGGTGACGATTTTGTCTCTGAAGAGGCACATAAACACAATATTACGTTGTATATATATATATAATATAATATTTTATACATGGTATACCTGTTTACCTATGAATGTAGTAACTAAATATATGCATAATTCCATATTGATTCATATCTATTTTATAGATAGTCGTGACATTCCATATATTTGTTCTTCAACTTTTGTCCAAACATAACGCTATCAAAGTGTCAAATAACACATAGATATCTTACAAAATTAGTTTGTTATTTACTTACAAAAATGTATACACGACTATTTAGGGTCCAAGCACACCCATCTCATATATTTTTTTTAACAATGCAGATAATCAAAATATGATTTTTGTAATTTAAAAAAAAAACATATCATATTTTTAAATAGGTACTTGAAATTTTTTTGTACCATTTAAGCAGTGTCCTGTACTCTTGTAGTGATACAAACTTCTATTATTCAAATTCAAACCACCCTCGTTTTTATTTAGTAGATAATTTGAACATTTTAAAAATGGTTTTATAAAAATATAAAATAGATGAATATATTATTTAATGCTAATTTTAATGCTGATAGGTACTAGAATAATTTTTATAAACTTTAAAATGTTGATTGATTAAAATTAATAACTATAATTTTCAATTCATCATAGCCCTATAATTATTCTTTAGTACATAATGTGAAACCCCCGTTCTCATTTGAAAGAACAGAAATTGATATCATCACAGAACACTCCTTAAATGTTACAAACATTATATCAAGCATTCGAAAATCCGTGGAATATACGTCTATTCGAATACATATTTAAAAATGATAATAATCATATTAATAAAATGCCGAATAACTGCATTATTGAAAAAAGAGAGGTGTAATTACTCGGCGAACCACAAAATATATTATGCTATTGTATTGTACATAAATATATAATGCGTGCTCATATTGATTTGTAATATTGGCTTGCGTCGAATTGATGATTTGCAAGTTATAATACACTTATAAATGTATGATTCTGTATATTATTTTAATATAATTGTTAATTTGACGTGTTTAAATAGGTACCAAATCAGTTTTGGTTTATACAATACACTGGCATTTTTTACTCTAGATCATTAGACGGGCGGAGAACAACAGATTTCGTTTATTTTAAAACAATACATTATTTCGCATTGTTTACTCTTACCTACCTTGAAATTAACGAATTAAAATCGTTGACCTTAAAGGTCTGTTCCATACAAATTCCGCGTCAATAAGAGCCAATAAACTTTATTACAATGGCGTCGGAGTGGGACTTATAAATCACTGAAAAACCGGGGAAAAACGCTAACATACATTATTCCACTCAATGTCACTACACACCAAAGTCTGGGTATAAAACTGAACATCACCGTGGACAGTAGTTAAATCATATTATTATTCATCGCTATGCATTTCAAAGTGACCATAGCCGCATGGCTTTTAGCCATATTATTCATAAGTCAAACTGTAAGTATACATGCATTTGTTCACTATAAAAATAGTTATAAAATTGTGTTTCACGCTTACCTATATAAAGTCTATACGTCTTGTTTTATCCCGACGGGTCAGCAACTGCGTGCGTTCGATAAGTGTAATATTATAATATGCGTTTTACTAGATACAGCTATAGCACTACTTTAACCTTTGCTAGATGCAATTAGTCACTAGATACACTAGTATACTTATTTTTTTAAATTGTTTATTTCACACGTCGGCCAGTTGACTAGTTTTTGACTATTTTTGTAAAAAAAAAACCGGAACGTATAGGTACTTTATTCATATTGATTTCCGCATATCCACGGCGTATTTTATATATTATTTATGCATCTGATGATGTGAGAATAATGTGCGTATGCACAGTAAATTTGTTTGTCAAATAAGGCACAGTCTAAAATGTCCGATGTGACACATAAATTGACTATGCAGAAGGGCATAAGTGAGATGATATGGAGAAAAGAGGAAATAGGGATCGGTATATTCTCAACTATTTACATAAACGATTTTTTTATGATTTTAAATCAATTGATATAATATCAATGCGCTGCGACACTCTGCGCATTAAAATACCGACAAAATTAATGTTGCCAAGATGTAATGCAACTATGATGCAAGTAACTCCGGCGCTGATTCAGGTGTAATCGTTTCAGAAATGCGACGATAAAGACGATAAAAACGAAAAAAGCGAAAAAAAGGCCGACGACGGACACGGTAGCAGTGGTAGCAGTGGTAGCAGTGGTAGCAGTGGTAGCAGTGGTAGCAGTGGTAGTAGTGGTAGCAGTGGTAGTAGTGGTAGCAAACCTACTGGCATGGATAACATGACGTTCGGTATGAACGGGATGTCCGGCATCCAACTACCGTTCCCGTTTTTCCCACCCTTCGGATGTGACACAATATGCCAACCAATACAGTTACAAATATTTCAGCAACAAGTACCCCGGGAGACGACGCCGATGACCCAAGCGCCGAGTAAGCGATTTACCATAATTTCAAAAAACTATTAAGACATATTTAAGTGGTAGGTACCAGACGTGTAACCGACAACCAAACTGGTGTGAAAATTTAAAAAAATTATAATTTTATACAAACTATATAAAATGAAATCTAAGAAAAACATAATGTATGTGTAGTAAATAATATCAAATTAAATCAGAATTAGTGACATACATATTTTACACAAAAATAAAATATAATAATATAATATACTTATATAGTACCTACCTAAGCCAACGCGTATTTCAAATATTTGAATATAGGTATATTATTATACCTATTATTAAATTTATGTGAAGCGCTTAATATTATGGTTTATTATCTTATGGATGATTATGATTTTTGATTTGAAAAATTATTTTTGTGTAGTAAAACATTTCAGTATTTCACCTTCAGTAGATAACTCATATTATTTTGTCTGATAAAACCAATAGTTATCCAAAGACGTCCAAACATATTTTTAATAATAAAATTTTCTTTTTTGAATTTGTATTTGTATTTCTCAAAAAATGTATAGGTATATATTTTATATATTCATTTCGTTTTGACTGTTAACTTTTCCGAATCAAATTATAACATTATGCTATACACTCGAACAGAACAATTAACATTAATCCACATTTAAAAAGTGGTTACTGTTCAATAGTAGGTATATTATAAAAATTGTCTAAGTTGGAACATAAGCCCTGCACTTTGAACTCATTGTAATTTTTCACATTTCCTTCTTACGATTTTTGAATACATCTGCCATCTGCGAAAATTTCTTACATAAATAAATGCCATGCCTTCTCACAATTTCAGCCACACACGCTCCGACGACCATGCCGCCGCCGCCGCCGAAAACCACAACACCAGCAAACAAGCCGGCACCGACGACCACGGCATATACCTCGCAAACGATCATTATGTACCCGAACTGGTAAGCAAGTACGACGGTATCAACCCGTTACCCACGTGTCGCTACCTACCTACTTAACTTTAAAAGTATTGTGTCGCGGCACCTGTGCCATCGTTGATGCGTGTAAAACAGTTGTACAATTACTATTGAATTAATATGTTAGGCACGTCGACCGGCAGTGGTTGAAATAATATTAATAATTCGATTTTCAGGTGCCAGGGCTGGTGCAAGTTTTTCTATCAACCACCTCCGCAGCCGGTGTATTACCAGCCGAACTGTCTACTGTTTTCGTGGATGGGATTGGGTTCTGGAATGGCCATGGGAATGCAACCAGCTCAGTCGTGAGTCGTCCGCAGTGTTCGACTAATTATTGCTCTAACAAAACAACATTCGTTATCGCGGTAGTTCCATCATGTATACTTGAGTGTAGTATTTATTTATATTTGTTTTTTGTTTGTTTATTATTTATCGGCTATAACATATTGTCAACAACAGCAACAATAATAATTTAAAAAGAAAAAAAACAATTTTAAATAATTTTGTTTTATTGTTATTTTTAATAAAATCAATTTTTTTTAAAATCATTTTTACACATTACTATTCACGAGAACAATCGAATGATATGAATCCTTAAATCGTAAGAGCAATTCGTATCTATATACAAAATAAATATGTTTGTATATATCAATAAATAATATTTTACTAGGTAATTATCGATTAATACTAACGAGATATTGATTATAATAATTGTATTTATTTATTGTTTTCTTAAAAAAGGACAGACGGTGAGATGTCACGTGGAAATTTTCTTAACTAAACCAATGAAAATAAATTAACAATTATATCGTTCATAATATTGTAGTCAACACCAAATAGTCTTACTTATAAAAAAATAATTATAAGTAGAATAGTTTTTAAAAAAAATAATAAAAATATCGAACAAACAAATTAATATCAGAACGAAGAAAAAAATAACAATATTTATTATTTTTGAAAAAGTTTTTGATTTGATTCCACAAAAAAAAAAATCAACTGCCTAAGGTACAACAATAATAAGCGAGTGAAACTTAATAGAATAGTTTAAAAAATGTAAAGTATTTACACTAAACAGTTGGTTTTTTTATACATATTATTTTTGGTGCAATTAGGTAGGCTTATCTTAGTACATTCATTACGGTTCTATGTCCGTCATTGAGTCATCCGTTGTGCAGCAGACTTGTCACATACATACCACAAAATCGCGGTGCGTACCTACTAGAAAAATCTTAGTATGGTGTTTATGCGTATGTTAGTATGTGGCGACACATTACCAGTCGCATCGGCAGCGACAACGACAATAACTCAACAACAGTCTTAGAACATTATCAAACCTACTTAGCTAGTGTACGATTTCGTTAAAACTACACGATATTATACAAATAAATATATTTAAAAATTACAAAATTATAGTAGAATAGGTACTCATTTACACTAATAATCGTAATAATAATAATAATAATAATAATAATAATAATAAATAAAAGGTTCAGAAACCAAACGGATAGTATCGTTACGTCGAATCGAAGAGTACAATTATTCTAACACAAAAATGGTTTGAAATCTTATACCCTCAAAACGTAATTTTTCCCGATTTTTTTTTACAGATATTAGTCTCTTATTATCTAGAACTATTAGTTAAACGAAATAAATCGGGTTAATCCGTTTGGTTTCTTAACCCTTCGAATAACACTATAAGTCTTATTTTAACAGGTCTCAAATAGTTCCCAATGGTTTTCGGTTCGAATATTATAATTATTGCATTATATAATATAAGGTATTTTTTTTATAAGTGAAAAACTTTCCCAAGACTAGAGACCGTGATAGACTAGAAAAAATTGTTTACATCATGGAACTAAGAAATTGTTGACGCTGTACTTAAAGATGTGACAGTCTTTCTAGTTGTTTTAAACTGTTTTAGTTGAAGTTTGTTTTTCACACTAACATTAAATTTAAACAAAATAGTAAGTTATAATAAAGAAACTATATAATCACAAAAAAAATAGGATCACACAAGTGATACAAATCAAACAATTTTTGGGATGCGTATTTAAGTCTAAAAAATTGCACATTCTTTATATTTATATATATAATATAGTATATGGTTTTTATAATAATATATGTATATGTATAATAACTATTTACAAACGGTGTATACAAAACGTTATAAAAAAATTAACTATGTCATATTCTGTCACTCACGTAGGTTGTGGTAACATTTCGTTGGCCTAATCTCTAAAATTCGTTGTTCCACGATTTCTCTTCCTTAACACTGATAGCTTCCTGTTCGTGTTCGCCATCTGACTCTTGTTTTAAGGAACTAGATTCCGACGGTGTAGATCTACCAGACTTGTCTTCATCGTTTACGTCCGACGGTTCTACTCGAATGGTCTCCGACCTTCTTCTTTCGGTGCAGCCATCGGCCGCTTGCATTACGCAAACGCCATTTATTATTACTTCGGATTGCTGCTGCTGTGGCTTTTGTTCGGATTGCAACCAATCCGGGTTGACCCATTGTGGAGCAGCTGGTTTTCTGCGAGAACTTCCGACTACGGGTACGGCCGGAATTTCTTCTCGAGGCTCCGACTCTTCCGACCGGCTGTCTTCGTCGTCAAAGTCAGTGTCTACTTCGTGTTTTACACTCAAATCCAATCCGGACATTTGTTCGTCCACCGTGGCCGAAGAGGATGACGTCAACATTGGGATGAAGGAAGACAGATCGGCGCCGTGTTGTAAATAAGGGTTTCCTGCATTAAACGGAATTGGTAGGCCACCGAAACCAAGTCGATGGCTCAAGAGAATCCTAAACTGAATTGGGTCGAATCCAGGGCCAGTTTGTGATTGTTGTTGCTGTGAATCAGAATGAGGTGATTGTTGCTTGATCCTCATTCTATGGTTGTGGAACCAGTTCGTTATTGTCCTAGTTGCTAAATTTAACTCTGATGCAAGAAACTCAATGGTGCCAACACTCGGGTATTGATCCAGGGCAAATGCTAATTTCAATGCTTCTTTTTGTTCATCGGAAAACAGGACCTGAAAATAATATGACGTGTAAATTATAATGACCAAATATAATTCAAAACAACGATTAAAACTATTATATGCATTGTTTAATATGTATTCGATTCTTACTCGTTGTTTTTTTGCGGCAGATGGAGGACTACTAGTGCCGCTGTGATAAAAATCTGAAGTGTCGTTTGAGGATGTGTCACTTCCATTATCTTGTTGGCCAGATCCTCGTCTTCTTTTGTTCATCTCCCTACGTTCACTTTTAATCGCTTGCAATCTTTCCACATTGTGTTGATCAGATAGCCAAAGTTGCATACGAATGAAGGGTTCACGGCCCTTAATGCTCAGCATATGCCATGGCTTAGGTTTTGATAGCAATTCACTGACCGATCCTTGAGAGAGTCCCAGTACAGCTTCACCGAAAATCTTAAAAAATATATACAGTTAGTAAGAATTACTATTTATTAATTTAAAAAATATATATATTTACTTTTTGTCCAATATTATTAGCAAGGAGTGCTTCTTTGATTTTAGTAGTTATAGTCTGTGTGTCAAGGTCTTGCGTAAGAGCAGCCATCTCATAAACTGAAGGTACAACAGCTGGTGGGTGACGTGTTCCAGGGTTTTGGAAAGCTGCAGCCACGTGTTGTAACATCAGGTTTTGCGGAATTCCATTGTTTGGTATTGGGCTTGCTTTGAGTTTATTTTCAGTGACCATCATCGACGCCAGTTGACTTCCAGTGGACATAAGTGATGAAGCAGTAGACGAAGTTGCGTGGTGATGTCCACCTGGAGACTGAAGTTGAATATGATGGTTGCTCGGTGATTGTAGCGAAGACGCCATATCAGAGTCTTCTGACATTGTTGTAGATGTGTTACACATTGATGTAAGTATATGATGATGCGGTGTTTGGCGATCCACATCTGCACTAACTTTTAAGAGATCGAGAGGTGAAGGGGTCATTTTACCACCAAAAGTGTGAGTTGATTTTACTAAATTCTGGTTCATAGCTATAAATAAAAAATTTAAATATTAATACATGGGTACAAAAAAAAAAGGAATTGAAATACTAATTTAATGTCTTTTTTGGTAGTGCTAAATGATAATATACTTACGACTTGATCCGCCATATCCTCCAGTTCGCATAAGCTTTTCTGGTGCTATTTTATACTGGGAAGCAACTAGTTTATGAACAGCTTTATCATCCTCCAAAAACATTTTCATTCTTATAAAGGGTTCTCTTCCTTTTTGAGTCAACATATGCCATGGTTTTGGTCTAGCCAAGAGATCGGACACACTTCCCTGAGAAAGACCCAATACAGATTCTCCAAAAAGTCTCTGGCTGATTGAAAATTGACTAAGTTGCTCTTTGACTTTCCTCACAATTTCTTCAGTATTCAAATTATTGAATTGGTCAAACTGTTGTTGAGTGATTGGTGGCAATACAGCTTTCAGAGGTCTCTGTGAAGGAGAATGATGATGTGGAGTAGCTGGTTGCGAAATTAAAGCATTTGTAATTGAAGCCATTCTTTGAAGTGGACTGACTGCAGCCGATTGACCGAAGTCCTCGGGAGGTAAAATAGTATTACCTAATGGTGAGCTAGCTGAGCTTCCTACAGAAGATGTACCACCTAATTTGAAAAAAAAATATAAATATACAATATACTATACATAATAATTTATATTTTATACAATATACATAGGAGGTATACTGTATGTATATAAATTATATATATTATTTTCATATTCATGTATTTTTTTTGTAAATATTATATTTAAATTGTTCAAATAACTTACTTTGTTCAGTTTTAGGTCGTACAAGCGAAAAAGCACTTCCGGCCTGTTTCATTGCTTCTGCTACAGTTTCAGACTCTTTGTCTAAAACCTCAGTCCCATTTACTTTAACAGCAAAATCTTTTCGCTGTACAAACGGATAAATATCTTTTCTGTCTTTTGGTAAAGACAAGTCTTGAGCAATACCGGTTCCTTGTATGGTATTGTTATTGTTATTATTGTTGTTGTTCGACATCGCTGCAACGGCAGCTTGTTGTTGAAGAGCTAATAATCCTGACAATTGGCTCTGTGGGCAGTTTTGTAATTTTGATAATTCTCGGTGATATGCATCCAATGCAGTTCGAATATCATCATGGTTGCCGGTATGATTTCCGAAGAAATGAGGGAAGAGCCAACTAAAAACATTTTTCGATATTAATAACCACAAAATAATTAATTTAAAAATCTAAATAATAGTAATAATAACTGAACTCACCCTGCAAACGGTTGTTCACCACTTCTCATAGAGTCTTCCAAACGTTTGCCCATGATCTTTGATAGCTCTTCTTGATACAGTCGGGCGACTTGTTCTTGTGGTATATCTTCTTTGGGTCTTTGTCTAGACGGGGAAGTACTCTGTATAAAATAATTAAAATTAATAAAAATAAATAAAATATAACATAAAAAAATAAAAAATAATATTTACAGTTAATTGATTTGGTGAAGTGCTTTCGTCATTGCTTTGAGTATCCTCTTGTTGTTGATTTGGTTTCATCATTTGACTCGCTTCATTCAATATGTGCACAATCCTTTCATCGGTGACGTCGTTTTCACTTCTTCCCATTACCGTAGGTATGCCAGAATCTTTACCTGCAATCAATGAGTACAAGGAGTCCTTCTTTGATAAACCCTAATGACCTATACCCAACAAGTTAGCATAAAGGGATACTATTCTTAAACACTATACCCCCTTTCGACTTTTGTCCTACCCCAACGAACTAGAATTCGTCCGAATTAGTTATACCGATGGTAAAACTATATGTTTATATATCTTGACAAAGATTTATTCCTTTTTCACATTGATAATTTCCATGGGTTCACGGTGACCCCATTGACCACAATTGTTTAAAGGGGTTCTGGTGGGTTTCGCGGTTTTAATTAGTGCCCTCAGATTACTTCATCTACTACGTAAAACAAGAACTTAATTGATTTCAGACTTTTGACCCCTCGTGTTTGCCTACTTGAATGGTCATGATTAATGGAATTTCTCGGGGTTAAATTAACTATAATCGCTTCGGAACACCATACCTTTTTTCGGTATCAACGACTTGAGTAGCATAACCGCGTTCTCGTCACATGCCCATGCATGCATTTTCCTATAGCTATCGCGTCCCTTTTCGGTCAGCTTGTCCCACGGCTTAGGTTTTGACAACAATTCACTGACGGTCCCCTGGGAAAGTCCAAGAATATACTTGGCAAACAACCTTTGGCCCACGTTATGAATGGACAGCAGTTCACGTACACGACGAGCTATGTGCAAAGTATCCAAGTTTTGGGTAGAATATTTGTCCATATTATATCTAAAAACAAAATTTTTATATTTTTAATAATATTCTAAATATTTAAAAAAAATTAGTTAGTAAAATACTTGTGTATATTACAGTATGAAATAATTTTAGTTATATTAAATATATACCTAAGCATTTCTTGAAGTCTAGCTTCCATAGGATCACCTTTTGGTATAAGCGATTCACCGAAACGCCCAACCATGGTACAATCACTATCTCCAAATCGATAAGGAGACCTGTGATCAAAAGGCGACTTTATCAAGTCAAACCCTAAGGCACCAGCAGGTCCTAAAATGTTATTGTTGAGACCAACATTAAGACCACAGAGACCATTTATGAGACCTGCAGGGATATTGTTGTTGTTGTTGTTGTTGTTTAACTGAGATGGGTTATTGTTATTGTTATGAGGAGAACTGTTGTTAAGTCGTGGTGAACTGTTTGATTCACTTGTGGGCGATTTGCATGGTGTTCCGGACCTACTAGCAGATCGCGCTGGTTGAACCATGATAGACGGTGAAGTTGGTGCTGGAGACGTGCTCGGAGGTGGTGTCTTGATAGATTCTAGACCTGGTGATTTTTCTTTGTCTAAAATAATTTATAAAAAAATATTTTTAGGATTTATTTAATAATCGTAAATGTGTTAACTATAAAAAAAAACAATTCTCGAGGCCTCCTCCCCCTCATTTCAAGAACACGTCTAGACTTTTCCTTACCGGTAGTTTCATGTCGGTTTGGAGAAGTATAGACTTTCTTTTGTTCATATTTATTGCATTCGAGGGATCTTCGCCAGTTGGCCACGATCTCTTCGCCGAGTATCGGGCCAAACTGTTCGACGTTTTGTAGCCCGGGAGGGGGTGGGGCCACCGGAACTGAAAAATCATCTGTAAGACAGATATACGGCCGTTTTAGCGATGCTACTTTTTCATGTGTTGCTACTAATGGGTGGCTATTATAATATTGCAATGTTTCACTTACTTTGAGTTTCAGGCACGGGACTGCAAGACGACCTCTGTTGTTGAGGTGATGTGCCTTGTGTATTTTCAGATTTGTTGTTGTTTGGCGACTTGTTATTACGGTCGTCTGAACATTCGACGGCCTTCAGTACACTAAAATATACATAATAAAACAAATTAAATAATAGTTTTTTATAACCGTTATTCACGTTTATTGTGAAAAATCACTGAGCAAACGAATATTTCATTAGCGTTATGACTCATTTACTATGTAGCCCTCCCGCTGACATTAGAAATAAAGACGATTCTGTATCGATAACCATCTCTCCGTTCCATATAATTAATATCGATGACATTTTTTCCTATCCTCGCATACCAGGTTTCGTTTTAATAAACTAGTTTGTATCCACATGATCATAAAATATCGGCATTGATGTCAAAAAATATTTTGGTTGGATATTAATTTATATAAAAAAAAAACTAGAGAAGCATATTTCTTAATAACAAGTGGTATTTAACAGTTTAAAATATTCGAGTGCATCTATATAATATTATTTAGTAAATTAAAATATCACTAAAAAAGAAACCACCATTGCCCACGTACAAACATGAATGTGTAGGAAATATTGAGATTGAGGCACAAGGTATTTATCATGTTTTTGTTGGCTCGAACAAAAGCTGTTTATTATGTAACGTATTAACGTAGGTACCTATATAATATGAAATATAAATTGTATACAATTCATATTACGTATAGTACCTGCATTATAATACAATGTCTCGGAAATCGTATTTTTAGTTCATTGCATTGAATTGGAACTCACTAAAATTGAATTGGCCTGTTGAACATATTAAATTGCTAGATGCAAAAATAAATAAGAAGACTTATGGACGATTATGAAAAAAATATTCTTGGATCATAAAAAATGGTGTAATTTGGCCGGTATGCCAAAAATTAAACAATTAGTGTAAATTGAAAAAGTGCCAGAAACAGAAAATTAACGTTTTCAACTTTGAGATTTTTGTCACGAGATTCTTGTGTCTTGTAATATTTTATTCAATCGAATTCCTTAAATTTTGTCACTCACCATAGCTGTCGCTTAACTTCTTCGTAGTCTCTCTGAGCGTCCAATCTGGCTTCAAGTCTCATAATGTGTTGTCTTTTGTCATGTAACTCTTCCTCGAGTCTGGCAATCTCTTTTGCCGTGTGATCTTGTAGTTTACCGATACTCGATTGCAGTCGGCGTACATCCTCAACCAATTGTGAAATCTAAAATAATAAAATTATTCAAATAAAGAGGGTGGTAGATGGTAGAAATGAGTATTATAACAAACACAATCGATATTCAAGATGGCGTTTATAAGCAAAAGGGGTCCTAAAAAATTATTGTTTATACAATTTGCATCAAAAACCCGTTAAGAGCGTCCCGGTTAATTACTGAAAACCGTTGTCGCCACCGATAGCCTACGGCACATAGACACGAAACAGAACTATTTACCTTGTGTATACATAATAATAATATATATAAAATGTTTATGTATATATGTTTTTTAATTATCATAAAACGTGCGCGAGTGTTCGATATCAAACTACAGTAATTACATTATTATTATTACAACAATTCCTTATTCTCTTTTTATTTTAATATTAACGGCCCGTAACGAGATACACTAAAGGGAGCCGAGTGCGCTCTGTTTTCTGAAAGGTCCCCCCTCCAGTCTGTCCCATAGTGTTAGTCATGAAGGAAAAGTTCCGCGTGCAGACAGACAGACGTTTCCGATTTTCTCTTCAACAATTATAGTCATTATTATGCGCGTCTGTATCCATCAGGATTGATTACACTTTTTTTCCTCGCCCTTTTATTTTACCACGTATACCGAGCTTAAATAATATACGCGATGGGTGTAAAAACAACGTACATACGCTTTTTCCATTAAACGTATTGAAAATCCATTTCACGAACGTCCAAACCCGAGCAGCCACTATACACAGTATACTCGCTGCAGGTATAACCTACATAATAATATATGCCGTCCTTCTCGAACAGCATTTATTTGAGCGAAATGAAAAAATAAAATTTAAAAATGTTTATACCTAAGTGTACAATAAATAATATAATATGCATTAAAAAATTATGAAATACTTCTCGTCGAATAAATTACACGCACGAAAATTCTCCGACGCTTGTTTGCGGTCGGTATCAACGCCAATAAAGATTGGAATACAAATGTTTGTAATTAGATAGACACATACAAACACTGGTGGGACGTCATAGCAGTATTCATCGTTGCAGGTTTTATAACGTTAACGAATAATAAAAAAAAAAAAACAGATAAAAGTGTTTGTCCGATTATATATCACCACTGAAGGTAATATATATATTATGTGTGTGTGCTATACATATTATATTATATACACAGAATACATCGTAGACAATTAAACGTTAGCAAACAACGAAACTTTATAGAGAAGAATCAAACATGGCCGCCGAAAGGATGCATCAAATGAGGCTCATTAGCCGGTATTTCGATGTATAATGTTATTATATTGAGTAATGACCGAAAGGAAAAAATAAAAATAAAACCAGAGAATCGTCCGCATCGATATACATACAACTGCACACGCCGAAGTAGCAACCTAAAATTATTACACAGCCCACATGAATAAACATCACGCGAACGAGTAGTTACGGTGGAGGGGGAGGGGTCCACGACGATGGTCTGAATAGTGTATATATTATGCGGCGGCAAAAGTAGGCAGTAGAAGTAGTAAGTAGTAGTAGAAGTAGCTAGTAGTTTAACTTTTAACTATATAGTAGTAGTAGTAAAGTAGTAGTAACTATAGTAATACTGTAATAGTAGTGGTGGAATTATAAACGCAAAGGAAAATCGTATTAAAGCGAAACAGAAGTCGTTGTTCGGGTCAGCCCGTAATTTGTTCCAATTGACTAACCGCAATAAATCTTGGGATGTCAAAAAATCATCGGTTTCCTGTTTCCTGTGCTTTTATAACTATTTGTCTGTTAATATAATAACGTCGATATAATCCGAAAATTGTCTAAACTACAAGGTCACCTTGGCGGGTCCGCCGCACACCGATGTATCTATAATACAATAATATTATTATAACAACGACGACGGATACATAATACAAATATATAATATATTTCTTGGGCTGCCAGTTTGATCCGACGTTGGATCGTAAATCGTACCATATTATAATACAAAACACACGACCGCAGAAAATAGAAATCACGACGCCGTTCAGCGTCTCTTCGCGCAACGGCCGTGGGGTGTACATGCACACACGCAAACGCATAAATCTCCTCCGTGTGTTTGACCACCCTCAAAAGAAAATGATTATTTTGCATATCGATTCCTACGCGGTACGTGTATTATACGCGTATAATATGCTCGAGTACAATTAATTTCGCCCGCACCCCAAACGCCGACACAAAACACCCCCGAACGGTTTCGTAAGGGTCGCGTGGGACATTCGCAAGACTCTAATTACTTCGGGAAAAAAATAATAAATGTTCGAAGCCCAGTAACGCTTGCGACTCCCGCGCCCGAATCCGACACGTTCGTTCGCGAGGAGGAACCGGTTATCGGAATTGACAATCGCCATCGTATAATAATAATAATAATACAATATTGTAATATACCGGTTATCGATCCCATGTGTAACGCAATAACGGTCGTCGTCGTCGTCGTAGATATATGGGATTATATTATTTTTTAGGATAATATAACTATACAAATATGTAACAGCGATACATAATGTGTAGTAATAATAATAATAAAATATTACTATATTATAATATTATATTTTATTGTAATTGTTGTTGTTACGTTGCACATTTACGTGATATTTCAGATTTTCTATACACTCAAACGTCGTCGTCGTTATTTTCCATCCATTGTTTTTTCCTCATTAAAATCTATTACGTTTTTAACGCAAACCAACACATACTATTGTTACTCGGCTGTGTGTACACTGCAGGCTCGTTTGTTCGAGATCAACCGACCGTGTCTAGTTCGGATACGTATGCACATCATCGTCCTCCGCGAGAACAACGTCTGTCAAGGAAAAAGACGAGTGTAATTATTAATTCGGCATGTGTGTGTGTGCGTGGGTCTGGCGTATTGTTTTTAGTCGATTTCGGTGAACGAAAATATAATATCGTGTTTGGCGAGAAAGATATAATAATATGGTCACCGTATGTATAATAATTCAGTATATTATATAATAGGTCTATCTATATGACTATATATTGCGAGAGCCCCCATATGGCGAAAAAAACCCGAATTCGTGAGACCTTCGCCCGACGACGACGACGGGTTCGACGTGCGGTGTTCATTAGCACCGGATGAGATCCTTTTTCTCAGGGTCTCTGGAACGCTCACCCCCGCAACCACGCATACGCACCCGGCGACATATCCTTTTTAACCGCTGCACGTGGTGGTGGTGGTGGTGGTGGTTTGTACTGTGTATAATAATAATTACGCATGCAAGAGACCGTTCACGTATGATAATAATAATATACGAGTACGTACGTATGTATATTATGTATGTACGTATATATGCATAATGCATATGATATATATATGCGTCGCTGGGAAAAATCGATCGACGAGGGGGTGTGAAAATCCGTTCGCATAATGTGTAACGAACGTTCTTGAGAACCGCTCCGGCACTCTATGACGTTATAGCCTCCCGGCCAAATGACCACGATCGTTTAACGGCCCGAAATGTATAGGGTCTCCCAAATTTTGTGTCCTCACAAAAGCGGTGTGGATAGTGTATGAACCAATAAGTGTATCATTTTCGTCACACGAAATTTGTAAGACCCTGTATGTAGGTACATATATAATATTATAATATAATATAATATTATTATATTCTTACACCCTTTTTGTCTATTGTCCAAATATAAGTGCCACACGCGAGCGTTTGATATGGTTTTTCATTTTCGGCTCGATTTTGGGATTTTGCCATTAGGATTCTAGCCGCTGTTTAAGCTTTGAATTTCCTATTTATTTTTTTTTTCCACCCCGGCACTTTTCAATTCGTTTTTTTTTTTACTTTGTTGTTATTTTTACGTACGCTCGAAACAAAAGAAACATTTATTTATAAATATTATTAATACGACATCGGGTGATTTTAAATTCTGTCGTTTGAAGTCGGTGCCGAGTGCTAATTTTTAATTTTCCCGAGAACATCAAAGACCGCCAGGTTTCTATGCGTGCAAGGAACCGAAAATGACGGATGTTATGTAATGGTGTACCATAAAACGGTCATTGTTCATAAAAATGTACGCACGGCGAAAAATAATATAGCTTGGTCATAATATATGCGTGTATGATAATATACCGGTATCGATGAATATTATAATATTTTTGATAAATTTGTCCTATTATTCCTATAATATTAAATAAGCTCTTAATGATACTCGTATATATTATAATAAATAGCGACGGGTATAATATTATTATAGCGTACTAAAGTCTTTTAATAATTATTGTCACGCGATTCAGAGTAAGAAATATAATTCGAAATAATAGCGCCGGACGTATAACATGAACATATTTATAAACTCGTAGAGGCACTATCCTTTTATCTATGCGTCTTCGTGTATATACGATTTCAGAAAAAAAGAAACATAGAAATAGTGCGTCAACATTGCTGATTGATAGTATAGTATAACGACAACGACAACGACAACGACGACGACGTCACGACGACGACGACTCACGATATTATATAGTATGAGAGACGGCGGCGGCGGGATGACAGGCGAAAAGAGCGGGTCCGTGTATATTATTGTGTACATGTTATAATATATGCATGTGTGTATATAATAGCACACCGCGGGGGAAATAACACGAGCGGACGACCGGGAAGAAAACAAAAGGCGACCGTGGTGGAACACGGTTTTATTGATTATATCGACAAGTGCCGATGAAGGGATTCGGAAATCGACTGACGAACTAGTGCAAGTATACATATCGTATGTACGTATGTATATATGTATGTATAATATATATATATATATATATACGGCTGACAAGGGCGTCGGTGGTGGTGGTGGTGGCGGCGGTGTCGGAGGCATTAAGATAACGGTCGCCGGAGTCTGCAGGGCGAGTGATTAAGCCTCTCTTCCCCGCGGCCTCTCGCCCACCACGCATACACCCCTACTTCAGGGACAGGCGTATATAAAAGGCGAAGCAGTGTGGCGTGGGAGATGGCGGAGGGCGAAGGAGTGGTAG